CCTAGAGACTGATTTTTCCACACGAATTAACCCATGCAAGTACTCGTCATAACCCACAATGTAAGGACATCAGTCCCATAGTTCCAGCTGGGATAACTAAGACACACGCAGGTTAACTTATCCAAATACCTAATAGCATTTGGCAGATCTGAGGTTTGAATTTAGACAGCCTGGTTCCAGGGGAATGTTGTCAAACCACCTGAAATCAATTATGAGAAAACTTGGGTGATGAGGCAATATATGAACTACAGAAAAGGAGGGGTTCAAGATAGTAAAAAAAAAAAAAATTGAACTGATATGGAAAGTCAGTGCTTAAAAATGCATTATAGACCAAAATTCTTCAGGTCAAAGGAGGAACAAAGAAAACAACATAAAAAGCAATGTGTTGGGGGTGGGAACACGGCTCGGTGGGTAAGGTGTGCACTGAGCAAGCGTGAGGACCTGGGTTCACATCCCCCGGACCCATGGAAAAGCCAGGAACAAGAGCTTGCATCTGTAACTCCAAGGACTGAGGGTGAGGGGAAGTGGGAGTTGTGGGGCAGGGGAGGAGTGGGTGGATTCTGGCTAAGCGGTGAGCTCCAGCTCCAGTGAGAGCCCCTGTCTCAAAAAACAAGGTTGAGAGTGACAACCAAAGACATTCACACCAACCTCGGGTCTGTGCACACGCATACGTGAGTGAACACACTCCCCTGCACACACACACACACACACACACACACACACACACACACACAGCTGTCATTCTAACTGGAAAGCAGGGAGGACACAACAAACTTAACCAGAACAATAAGCACTGCATTATTAGAGAACCAGCCGGGTTCTCTAAACTTCCTAAAAGTGGTTTGTGCAGAGCGCCGTGTGAACGAGGTGGGAGGCAAGGAGCTAGAGTCCTTCACAGAAAGAGAAACGCCACTGGCAATGGGAAAACATGAGACCAGCGTGTCACCGGGGCTTCTGAGAAAGGATATGACGTGGGAATGTGCTGGGAAGCAGCTGGGGAAGTCACTGCTCCTGGGAAGAAAGGGTGGAGAAGGAAGATGTGCACGCGGCCTTGGAGTTTCAGTGTTGAGAGGAAGAAACAGGAGCATTAGTGCAAGATCTCACGTAGCAGAAGAACTCTAAACTAGACCAGATGTTTCAAGCTCAACCAAAGCACAAAACACAAAAGAAACCTCTACAGCAACTGCACTTCTCCCCAGGACTGAAGAGGGCGCTCTTAACCTGGCTAAGCTCATTAGCCACCACTGCAGTCTGTGGTGATAGACAGGAATGGTCTCTTCAAAAAACGAGGTTTTGCTCCCCTCCCTGCTTCTCCCCTCCGCACTTCAACCATCCTGCAAGGTCCCCATGTTCCCAATTTACTCAGGAGATCTGGTCTTTTTCTACTTTCTACTTGTTGTGTAGATTATATCTATGTCTCTCATTGTTGTCTAAGTTATCTGGGATTGTGGTTTGTAGGCTGGAAAAATGTAGAGCTCAATAAAAATCATTTTAAAAAAAAAGAGAAAATGAAAAAAGAATGGAAGGGATTCTGCAAGGCCTTTGGTAAAGGAAAGAATATGATAAAATATATTTAAATGTAGCAACTGTTTTCAATAACAAGAAAGCAAAAAGGGAAAATTAAAGTAAAATTTTGACACCAACAATCTAAGTAAATGTTAGCTATTTTACATTGCAAGAAAATAAACTTTCACATTCTGGTTTTAAAAAAAAAAAAAGAAAAGAAACAAAAAACAAAAAAAAAAACCCAAGGTTTTATAGCCAAAACCTTGTTGTTTGGAGAAACTATTTAAACACACACACAAATGAGGAAATAGGGCACACAATAAATAATCCCTTGAGGCTTTGGAGACGACATCTCCAGTCAGGAAACCAAAGCTAAGAACAGAAATGGACACAAAGAAGGAAGGAAACGAAGCAGCGGTGACTGAACTCAGGAAATCCATGAAGGAGAGGGACAGGACAGCATTGGGGGGAAAAGCTGAATTTCTTGATGCCTGTAAAAGAATAGATTTGAGTAAAAAATAATAAAAGATAGTAGAGAGATTTTAAAAGTAAAAATGACATTTTTCTTTTCAAGACAAGGTCTGAGTGTGTAACCTGGCTATCCTGGAACTCGCTCCGTAGACATGGCTAGCCAACCCACAGAGATCCACCTGCCTCTGCCTCCAAGAGCTGGGATTAAAGGCCTGACTTAAAACGAACTTTTGGTTTTGTTTGTTTTTTTTTAGCATAAAAGATCAACACTGAAGGGGCTGAATGAAGGTCCAAGATCTGCACAACTAGGGTCTCTAAAAAACACTGAGACAGAATTAATATTTAAAAACAGCATTAACATTACAAAAATAAAAAAAACACACTTGAATATAAATATTGAAATGATACTCCAACTACCTAAGAAAGCTGAGTCAACATGACCTCAAAACTTACCCAAATACAATGACTACATTTTAAGGATAAAAGAAAAATCTGCAGGCTCTCCACTCAAATAAACAAAAAGACTGAGCGTCAAACGAACCACTTCTCAGTGCGATGAAAAAGTCTTACACTTCTGTAGTTTCATTCCCTGGAAAGAATGTCAGCTCCTACCTCTCTTGATGTTTCTAGATTTTTATCAAGCTTATCCTAGAAGTAAATACATATGAACATATATCCCTGCCGAAGAGTGAGAGGACTGCACGCTCTTAAACACACATGACATGGCCTGTAGGAACCTGAAAGGAATGAGAATTCCTTTCCTGATGCAGACTCTGGGCTGACCATGGATATCCGTGCTCAAGCCCCAATGCTCAACATCACAAAGGTCAGTCCCATTGCTTACAAGGGCTGAGGGTGACCACATCCTGGCCACACTCGGTCCACTAAGGCAAAGACAATTATTCCTGACTCCTTCAGCCTCAAGGCACAGTAAACACATGGCCTGATTGTCAGGAAGCTACCGTTCCTCGGGTCAGACTTCCTATTGCAAAGAGCTCCTGTGGGTTACAGGTCACTGAGCAAACAAGATTCAGACTGTGGTATTTCATGTCACCCCAGCCTCCAAGAAGTGGGTGATAGGTTATCTGCCCATTGCCATTCCTCTGGTGTTTAGCCCAAGACGGGGTCAGATAAGCCCATTACACCTAAACCTTTTCCTCTAATGGAACTTCAGGATAGAATCTGTGTTGAGGGTCATCCTGGCAATTGCCCACAACAGTGAAGATGATACTTTGTCTATTAATCCTGCATAATCCCAAGTGGAAAGAAAGATTGAGACTTGGTTTCTCACTGCAAAATGTGAATACCGGACACAGCCAAAGACGATGGCTGTCTCAGCGGCACAGCAGCGGGGTCTCAGGGATGCGGAAACAGAGGAAGTGGTATATGACCATCAGGAAAAGCATATGATCAGGCCAATTTTAGCACTCTAGCTTCTTGGACATGAACATATAGCATTATTTTAGTTAGTACTCCCTTCCTTCTTCCCCTTCCTTCTTTTGTCTCTGCCTGCATGGACCAGCTAAGTTGCATGTGGCTACAATACTACCTAAGATGTGGACTGGCAGAATCAGCGGGACAGAGTTTGCTAGGAATTGGACTCAGGGTGCAGACCTGTACCTACTGACTTGGAACTCTAGGGATAGAGCCTATGAACTCGTGCCTTAATGGCTCTCCTGGTAATCCCAAGCTCCTGAGATGACCCGTGAGTGTGCTCATGTCTCGAAAACTGCAGTCTCCCGAGTACCAAGGCCAAACTACCCGCCTCCTACCCCACCAGGAACGAAAGGGAACCAGAAACAGAGGGGTTCTGAGAAGACAGGGATAGGCCCTTCATTCTGCTGCTTCCTTCAAACGGGGCGACCTCTTTCCCTAGATGTCCCAAAATATGATTATTAAACCCAAAGGATTGAAGCAATGGTGAGAGGGGCCTGACAATGTGGCTCAGCAGCAGAACACTTGCCTGGCGTGTACAAAGTCCTGCGTGAATGGGTTCTCTACGAAAAGAAGAAAGGGGAAGGAGGGACGGAAAGGGAAAGACCCCGTGTCCCTCAGAGCTAGCCAAGAGCTGACTGGTTAACGCCGCTAGCCTCTGTGGCTTCCAGGGAAGTCCACAAAGGAAGTTTCAGAGGAGCCTGGGTGTCATCAGACTGCTATTCTGAGTCAAGTTGTTGGAAATAAGTTAATAAAAAAAAAATCTAAGAGGCTAGCGAACATGAAGCAGATTTTAATATATCGTTCTCAGAAAGGGCAAAATAAAATAAAAATTTAAAAAAAGGCCAAATCACTGATCTGGCCCATGACAGTGGTTTTTAAGATCCTTGAGAAATTTCTGTCCTCTTCTTCTATAGTCTGGAACTTGTATCCCCTCCAAACTAGGTCTCAGAGACCTAGGACACAAAGCCTCACCCAATGAACAATCTGGGGCTTGATGCTGTCCCTCTCTTCTTTCCAGATCTTGGGCTCAGTCACACGGAACTCATCTAACTCTCAGAGGCCTGAGACAAACAGACTTTAGCCTCCAGCTAGGGGAGGGAAGGACCGAATGCTTCTGGAAACTCCAATGCACTCTAGCTTACCTCACATTGAAAATGGACCATAACAACCTATTGTTTAAATGTGCCCCTGCCCCTGCAATGACCCAACTGTGAGCCCTCTTGATTCTGCCAGTTCCCAACAAAGTGGGGAGATTTCTGTCTCCATGAAGATATTCCTAGTTGTCTCTATCAATATCCTCAGAGCCAGAACCATTTTCAACTTGAGATGAGAGATAGACAGTGGCTTCCAGAATTCTCACACTAAGGTTACCTGGAATCCCCCACTTGAAGCAGCATCTCCTTGCCTGGTCCCTCTAGAAGCCAAAATGCTACCCAAAGGCAAGATCTGAGCATCCTGAACCAAAGTAAAGCTTGCAGTTGGTCAGAACTAGAACTCAGGGCTCTTGGCCATGCCCTTCATGCTCCCCATATTGTACCATTCAACTCTCAGAGGGTACAACACAGAAGGCATCCGTCCGTGCCTACCTGTTAGTGCGGTTGTTAGGCTTATTTGTGCCGAGTGTGGCTCGGTGGGTCGCAGGAGGGTGATGTTTATTGTGTAATCAGTGGCTGGGTACAGCTCTAAACACACTTCCGGAGCTTGGTCTCTTGTTGTGAAGTTAAAGAAAGTTGCATGATAAAAGCTCTCCAGATACCACCTCTGACCCAGAACTTCCACCTGTCACAAGATGGAAAGCGAGGGTTGCATTAGCTTCCTGTTGGCTTGTGGAGTTCTAGACTGCAAGTCGAGAGGAGGCACAAAAACTTCCTTCCAAGGATCTTAGAATTATCTTTAAGACACCAGCAAGCTAAGCCGAGGACAACCTCTCCTACTGTACCTATCCTGTCCAGTTTGCCTATCCTGTCCAGTAGGCGTAGGTCTACAATTAAATTGCATACCCAATGACAGTTAGGAATAAACGTATCTCAGAAGAATAAGACGGCAGGCTATTCTAAAGTGATCCCTTGGTGCCCACTCAAGTGAAAGACACTGTATTGAAGCTACCGGACCTTTCCACTTTTCTCATCACGGGAATCCACAGACAAGCCCCATTGTGCAGGTATGTAAGCACTATGAGAACTGCCCCAGGCTATGCTTTTACAATGACAGTACAATGCCATTTCCCTTGCTCCTTCCTTCCTTCCCATTAGAGCTTGGGAAAAGCTGATGACCGTGGAGGTGTCTGAATCCTGCCGCTCAAGTAACAGTGGGTCACAAGGGAAACACTTTAGTGACGATCCCAGAAAAACAGGATCAAATATCAGCAACCAGTAGGCTTTGTTTGGTGGGTACTGTGAGTTTAATCATTCAGTTGAAGCTCACGTCATTGACTCTACCACCTCCCTTCCTTCCATACTACGTTCACTGAGCTTTCCTCACAGGTCATCCAAGACGGTGATAATTTGCTCATAAGATTCATCTCTTGGCCAAGTCCTCCAATTCTCTCGGGTCTTTCTCTTGGTATCCTTAGAGATAAACTATCAAAAATTGGCCTCAGAGGTCATTGAGTTCAGTGCTATGAATATCCCTCCCCTCCATTCCAGCCAGCCACAGCCATGCTCCAGGGTCTAGACAACATCACCAACAGAGCTGCTCACAAGATCTTGCGATGCCCTGTTCTCCTGGACCACTCTCTAATACAAGTAATACATTCATATAAGATGTGAACAAAATGTATGTTTTCTTCTGCAGACAGCTTTCGAATATTCACTTTCCCCAGTGGATTTATTTATCTTTTATGTATTACATAAATTGATCTTTATTTTATTTATTATGTATACAATGTTCTGTCTGTGTGTGTGTCTGCAGGCCAGAAGAGGGCACCAGACCTCATTACAGATGGTTGTGAGCCACCATGTGGTTGCCGGGAATTGAACTCAGGACCTTTGGAAGAACAGGCAATGCTCTTAACCACTGAGCCATCTCTCCAGCCCCCATAAATTGATCTTTGACACATTAAAAGTTTAGTTTCTTTTTCAATTTTATTCTTCAATCATCTTAGTGTAGGGTTTGTGTGTGTAATGTGGATGCCCGAGGCTGAATGTCTTCCTTTATCACTCTGTACCTTACTTTTTGAGACAGAGTCTTACACTGACCCTCGAGCCCACAGATCAGCTACCCTAGCTGGCCAATAGCCAAAGGGATCCATCCTCCTGACTCTGCACACACCTGCACCTGACTCTTCAGGTGATGATGGGGTCCACACTCAGTTCCTCACGCTTGGGCAGCAAGGATTTTACCAACTGAGCCATTTCCCCAGCCTCTAGAATCACTGGTCTTCTTAATCAAGTCTCCCGCTAGCTATAATAAGACTTTCAACACTAATATAAAAAACCATTTTAATCTTAGAATAAATAAATTATTTGGGTCCTTGAATATGTATGTCTCTAGCCCCAGGGCTCTTTCCAACACGGAAACGTAAATACTCACTTACAGGCTTCCCTCCAGTGGCTCCGCATGGGCATTCAGATTCAAAGCAAAGCAGGTAGGGCTCAGCCAGTCGCCACTGGATCTTCACCCTCCCTCTTCCTACCTACTCCTCTTTGCTTTTGACGTCAGCCACTGTGCTGTCTACGTACCCACAATGCCCTTCTTCACCCTTGCTTCAGCTAATTCCTGCTCATTTCCTATCATACAACATAGTTTTGGCTTCTTAAAAATTTACACCTTGGCAGGAGAAGATGGCTCAGCAGTTACAAGCCCTGGATCTTTTAGAGGACCTGGGTTCGATTCCCAGCACCCATATGGTGGCTCACAACCATGTGGAACTCCAGTCCCAGGGGATCCAACACTCCAAGGCATATACACGATGCACATACATACATGCAGACAAAACATACACATGAGAATAAACGTAAATTATTTTTAAAAATTATACCTGGGAACATGCATGTGTGAAACACACACACACACACACACACACGCACGCACGCACGCGCACACACACACACACAGTCCTATTCCATTATTTTTATCAAAAAATTTTTATCAAAGATTCATTGTACCAAATTACAGTTGCCTATTTATTTGCACATTCCTATTTGTTTGAATTGAAACTTCCAGGTTATACTATATGACATCCTCTTGCTAAATATTTGTGGAATGAATAATTAATTTTAACTTTATTGCACACAGCCAGAGTTGCTAGGCACTAAACGTGACACTAAAAGTAAATTCGGATTCCTTCCTAAATTTGCTTAGGATTTGAGTTTGGGCATAAAAGAAAACTACACTAAAGTTACATGAAAGCCAGCGGCCACACAATGAGTGTCTTAAAAATGAACACCCAATGTGTAGACTTGAGAGCAAATCAAGATGTAAATAGTAAATGCATTAAAACATAAGTGTGAAATCACAGGCAGGAGAATGATAGAAAATCACCAACTACACAGCACCTTTTTTCAACTCAGCTCCTCCTCGTGGCCATCTAACATACACTCATCTCTAGAAATGGACACCACAAACAGCGCAGACAGTCCTCCCAGCAGGAGTCTTTAAATAGTCTGAACCCGCACTCGGGAGGCAGAGACAGGCGGATCTCTGTGACTTCAAGACCAGCCTGGTCCACAGAGCAAGCTCCAGGACAGTCAGAGATACACAGAGAAACCCTGTCTCGGGGGAAAAAAATATTCTGAACCATCCATTGGAGATAGCCCACATTTTTTGTAAGCAGAGTTGTGTTTTTATTAAAGATGTTTTAATATAGACTTGATGCTAGCACACACCCAAAAACATGGGCTGCAAAGAAGAGTCACAGTTCAAGGAAAAGATGTGTTTAATAAAGATTTGAAGCTCAGGGGTTAAGAGCAAAAGAGATGCTAGGGGAAAGAATGGTGCATACCCAGTGTGGGAATAAATCGTTCAGTTTTCCCAGGGTGGGAATAAATCACCCGATTTTCCCAGTGTGGGAATAAGTCACTCAAGTTTTGGAACGACAAATTCTATAACAGGTAAGAATAAGGGTTCACCTTACTTGATACATTTGTTCCGATCCATCTTTCATAGAACGCCTGTTCAACTTCAAACACGTGTCATTAAATACTGAAATATTGAGAATTCCACCATCTTCTAAGAGATCATCTTCTAGAAGACAAGGGAGCATAGAGAAAGGTCAGATCCCCAAGGCTGAATGTGAGTGCAGCTGGGATTCTTCCCAGGGCAGGCAGGGTGTTTAACAGGAAGAGCATTCCATTTACATTGGTATTACAGACTTAGACGCAAACACTAGCTGTACAGTTTGTTCTCATTTGAATTTGTGTGTGTGTGTGTGTGTGTGTGTGTGTGTGTGTGTGTGGTGCTCTCAATCGCTCTCCATCTTATCCTTTGAGACAGGGTCTCCCACTGAATCAGGAGCCCCCTGATTCTGCTAGACCATCTGGGCAGCAAGCACCCAGGGTCCTCCTGTCTCTGTTCTCCCAGTGCTAGGACTACAGGTGAACTCCACTTCTGGGCTTCTCATGTGGGTTCTAGGGAATCGAACTTGGGTCCTCATGCTTACACAGTAAGCGCTTTAACAACCAAGCCATTTCCCCAGCCCTTGTCTCTTTTCTGGTTTTTCATTTGTTCAGGGTTTTGTTTTGTTTTGAAGATTTATTTATTTTATGAGTGTTTTGCCTACACAGATGCCTCTGTACCGCATACCCACCTGATGCCCTTGGAGGCCAGAGAGGGCATCAGATCTCTGGAACTAGAGTTACAGAAGTTATGGGCAGCCATGTGGGTACTGGGAACCAAACCCAGGTCCTCAGCAAGAGCAACAAAAGCTCTTATCCACTGAGCATCTCTCCAGCCCTCTTGTTTTGTCTTTTGAGACAGGATCTCACTTTGGACTTGCTATGTAGCCCAGTCTGGCCTCTTCTCCTAATTCCTCTTCCTCAGCCTCGAGAACTGGAATTATGGGCATCTATTCCTGAGTTGTATGGACTCAGTGAGGTTCAGAAGGGTTTCTTATGAACTTTAATTTTCTCACTTGTGAAATCGACATATCCAGCTTGCTTTCTTATGTCACGGGCAGTTGGGAGAACTGTAGCGTAAATAATAAAAACCCAGAGACAGATATTGGGGTTCAAGCTGAAGATCAGAAAAGCAAAGTAGCCAGCCACTAGAGAGACCGCAGAATGAAAGGGTGAGATCCTGTCTCCATGAATCCTCAGACTCCACACTCCACTGAGTTCCTGTATCTTCCCCTTTATGGTTCCTTTCTCCACCTCCCTAGTGCGAGCTACTACCACCTGGATCTCTTTCTGGATCAATCTTGGGTAGCCCAGGGTAGCCTTGAACTCACAGAGATCCCTTAGCCTCTGTCTCCTGAGTTCTGGGATTAAAGGTGTGTGCCACCACTTCCTTGCCTCTAGTGGCTTAGCTTTGCATTCTGATCTTCGGGCAAGCTTTATTTATTAGAATACAAATAAAATATCACTACCGAGAACCAAATGAAATACTGAAATATTGCAGTAAACTTCTAAAGCTGTGACCTCTGTAACAGGTAGCTGTTCTTACATGGACCAGGCAAAAATGTCCTCAACCATATCTGTGGACAGACGTCTTGAGAAGGAGGGAAATGGTGAGAGGTTAGGAGCCTCCAGGCTGGTGCTTTCCAAAAGAAAACGAGAAAGAAGACACGGCAGCAGAAGAGACAACATGTTCATGTTCTCACAGCAGAAGAGATGTGTTCTCACAGCAGAAGAGACGTGTTCTCACAGCAGACAGGGCTTTGCCAGCTACTGAGCTGCATTCAGCTGAGGTGATTAAGAACCAAGGAGAAGGCCTGGTTCTAACCATTATCTAGAAAAAGTCATTTCCTACCTCCTGCGGATGCAACATTCCAGCGGTCCTTTATTTTCTTAACACAGCCAAAAAGAAGAGAGGCCACAGGATGAATTAAATAGCTCACTTTGAGTCTAGGGGTAATTTCTCAGGAAAAGCAAATTTCCTAACAAACAAGCCTTTACATTCTCTACCAGTGAAAAAGGGTTGTTTTTCTTTATATGGTGCTGGGGATCAAACCTTCAAGTTCACACATACAAACCATGCACTGTCCCCTGAGCTACATCTGCAGCCACAATTAAAAGCTTAACCATCTGTTAGGGTGACTCTCTTTTACATTCAATTTCAATATATAAGTCTCTCAGGGGAGTCCGTGTCATCTAAGAAGTACTCATGGCAATGGCAAATTATCCCAGTCAAAATCGGGATTGCCCAAAGTAGTTTCAATATTGCTAACATAACGCGGCACAAGGCATTAGCTGAGAGACAATATTCCTGACAATAACTGGGAAATGTGAAAGGATGGTTCTAAGAATTTGAAGACCTGTCACAGGTACTTCATCTTTGCAGTGTTTAAAGTTTTTACAAGGATGTCAGAGGGGGAAAGACAGCCACAGGATTTTTGAGGAGCTTCAAACGCATGCGTGTATGAAGTGTACAAAAGAAACAGCACCTAAAGCCCACGACTGTACACAAACAAAACCCAAGCAGAAGTACTGCCTGCAGGGTCCCACGTAATTCAGCCATTACAGTCTGAATTCAGAGGAAGACGGTGCTAGGAACAAAGGCATCTGGCTTCTCCTTCCCACACCCACTCCTGACAGAAGTGACTGAGAATAACTAAAAATGGGTCAAAATTTGCATCTGGGTCGGAAGCAAAGGTTGGTTGCCATATGCAAGGTAGACGTACAAAGACATCTACGCTCAGCCCAGCATAAAAGCGACCAGGCTGTGGGAGACTCAGGGCAACAATTCAACCTGCCTTCCAGGCAAATGAGCAGGGTCTCCAGATTTCAAAGGAAGGACTAGAGAATTTGAGCCCGTAGACAGGTCACAGGATAAGTCAGTGATGAATGTCCTTGTGGAGCCACGGTCCATTAGCCCTAAACCTAACTGCATGTCAGAACCACACAGACATTTTAAATGGTGTTGGCCATCTATGGAGTTCACCAGGCAATTATCCCAGCCGAGTACTAACCAGGCCCTGTTCTGCTTAGCTTCTGAGATAGGGGAGATCAGGCACCTTCTGGGTGGTCTGGCTATAGACTCACCTGGCAATTCTGAGGGGCAGCCAGGGAAAGAAGTGTATGCACTGCCATTGCTAATGCCATCGGTCTGTCCTTGGCGCACTGGAGCTCAGCAACAATAAAGGATGTCTTAGTGGAGACCCCAGGCCCAGAGAGCTCCTGTGACCAAAACCCTGGGTTGATTGACAGGACAGACTGACTGCTGCCTCAGTAGGGGCTGCTGCACATCCCGAAGCCAAGCAGCACCCAGAGAGCCAGTGCTCGGCAGGTCAGGGAAACTGGAGGGAGGCATGGAATCGGTGAACAACTGGACAGACGCACAGACCACACAGGGACGTTATCTGTGGGGGCAAAGCTTAATTCTTCATTTTCTTTTTCTCCTTCTGCCGCTCCTACTGTTCTTTCTCTGTTCCGTTCTTCTCTCCTGTTGTCTCCCTCCTCCTCCTTTCTCCTCGTTCTTCTCATTCTTGTTCTTCTTCCTCTTCTCCTTCTTCCCTGCTGTTCTCCTTCTACTCCTCTTAGTTTTTCCTTATCCCTTTTATACCTCCTAATACAAAGATGCAAAAGGAGATCACCCTGCAGCCACAAGTGAGATACTTTCCAAAAACAAATTAGAATCTTTGCACAGGAAGAGATCACATTAGGATCACAGGGTAGATGTTTTTTCTTAGGAGCCCACAGGTGGTTAAACATTTCCTTTTTTATTAATTCCCCCACCATAACATCTTCACCCCAGAGCAATGATTCTTTATTACTGATTAACAAAGTCTGAAGCAAGCTAATAGATTTCAGCCAGCTCCTTTAGTCCTGGCAGGCTGCTGTTTGTGGTTCCAGTGTGTCAGATTCCTACAAAACTTTATTCTCATGGTCTAGCTAATCATCTACTTTTTTGCTACACACAATAGCGTCATTTAGTTTCCTCTCACAATTTTCTTCTTTAAGGTGCATCCCGAAACCTGTGATTAATTCTGTAAGCTGAATGACCGAGGACCTCGGGCCTAACCCTGGGTGCAGGGACATAACTGCTTTCTTTGATCATCAGTCTGTTTTCCTACAGGCAGAGTTCATGGTCTATAAGGCATGAAATGTTCTTGTTCTTAGTTTCCACCCGCAACTCTCACATCTAACAAAGGGGAAGGTGACTTCCAGCCTGATTTTGTCTTTTTGTGTGTGTGTGTGTGTCTCTATTGGCAGAATAACCTAAAAGCATTTCCCTAATCAATTTTACTGACTGTCCTAACCACTTGTATCTTTTGGGCTAACTCAGAAAGTCCAATGAAATCATAGCTTTAACTAATCATCACTGCTCTTATAAAAATCATCTTCATTATGATCTGTAAGTAAATTGCCCAGTGAGGAGTGCGATTTTTTCATGAAACGATCACTCTATACAGGATACAGTGGGATCTGTTCACACAGTAATCACAGTCATTGCGCCAAATACGGCAGGAACACGACAGTAACAAGCAAGAGAAAGTACAGCAGAAGCAGGTGATGTTCTGGAAACAATCTCCCTGGGACTTTGCCTCTGCAGGGTTTATCACCATAGCTTTGTTATTTGGTGGCTTGAACTCCACAAGCTCCTCTGACATGGCCCCCGAGGCAGTGCAGAGCTGGCCCACAACTAACTGCTTCACAGGTTAATGGAACAATGAGCTCAGAAAGTAAACTCAGGGAGATGAGTTTCCCCCACAGCGGCCAGTCAAAGAAGGCCAGTCCACCCGACCTTCACGGGTGGAGGGGGAAAGTAAAGTCAAAGGGAATGACATCTGTCCTCTGAGAAGCATCAGTCTAGACAGGGCTGTACCACCCCAGAAGTCATTTTGAATCCTGTGAGACGATGATTCTATCGCACTGAGAAAAGGAAGGGAGAGGAACGCATGTGACGAGGTCCAGGATTTTCGCTGCTGTTGCTTTGTTGTTGACAGTAAGATTAACCAGCACCCACCCATCCTGTGCTTTCAATAATAATTTCTTAAAAACATCTGAGATGATTCTAGTGAAAGAAGAATGTGGAAATAGAAAACACTATCCTGAGTGAGGTAAGCCAGACCCAAAAAGAGGAACATG